TGCAGCCGGGGAAGAGACAACTGTGCACACCAGGAGCTCAAGAACTGCTGCAAGAGGACCTTGCTTTTTGGACCCACATGCTTCCAAGCTAACCATTGATGGGCAACCATTTGACTATCACCTGGAGTGTGGCTTCTGAGACTTCAAGATATGCAGCCCAGCTCAGTCCTACTGCCAGACCTCTTGGACCTGGGGAGATTCCGCCATCCAGCGGCTCTGAACTCCAACCACTGACTGAAAAGAAACCATTGCTCCATGGGGTTGGAGCAGCAGCTGACAGTCAAGAAGGATCACTGCCAGGTGATTTTGATGAGCTTTTGTGAAAAACTTTCAATGAAGGGCAGTCATTTTTCCCGGAGCAGAGCAGGCCGGGGCAGCAGACAGGAATGCAATACAACAGACTGCCCTGGAGCAAATCTACCCTTGTGCAGTCCCAGGGTTAACACATCCCTGTGTAGGACAGCACACCTACAGCTTTGTCACAGACATACAGAGGAACACCCTCCACCCTCCTCCTTTGGTGGAGGGAGGTCTGATGGGATTATGAAGGGTGCATAATAACACCAGTGCCTGCATGAGCCCATGCCTCCCACAGAGATGAGGTTCTCCCCACCCCTGCACAAAAGCACATGCTTCCGCCCTGCAGGAGCTCCACAAAATCTGTTGTCCCCACAAGGATGCAATTCTCCCAGTCAACTGACCAGCAGGTCCTTACCTCTGTGTGCAGCAGCGCTGCTGCCAGATCCAGTGCCAACCTTCCCTCCATCTCCACTGCCTCCTGTTGAACCCTACCTTTTCTCATGACTGCAGTTTATTAGAAGGGGAAAGTGACCGGGAGGCAAGTATCTTAGAAGGAGTGGGGACACAAAGATAAATGACAGAGAAAGTTCTTGTCCGTACCTTTTTTTGTCACAAAGCAAAAGCAGTTAGTAATATGAGGAGCATCAGAACCCAACTGTAGCAGAGTCAGCATCTCTGCCTCCTGGAAGATGGGCAGAGGGGTGTTTTTGATATCAGGATCTTGAAATATTTTACCACATAATATTAAAAAAAAAAAAAAATTACAAGTGATGAGCAATCTTTTAACCTCATAATGCTTTTTTCCCATATAACAGGATGCCTCCTATATTCAAAGCTCTTAAGTTTTGAGGTTGCTTTCCTCCTTTTTCTAACCAATGCAAACATAATCATACTCATGATTCTAATCCATCCTGATTAACAATCAATGTCATTAAATTACTCTTTTACTAGGTGACAAGACAGAACTAGTTTAGTTCTTGAACTGACTGGAGATTAAATTAAGTGATTATTTCCTTGATAGGTATTAACTTGTACCACAGTTCATTAAAAAAGCACTTCTGTCAAGGTTAGTACCATAGTTAACAGAACTATGACTGTACTATTTAGGTTTGCAACTATTCAAAAGTACTTAAATGCTTGAACAGAGCTCTAAGTTTCTATAAAGTACTAATTCCAAAAGTAATCAGATGAATTGTCAAAGTGAACATCATGAAAATTTCTGTTCCTTTGACCGGCTTAGTTTTGTTTACTTAATCGTGGGAAAATTTCCACCCTTCAATCATCAGCCCACCAGGACATATTACACTATCTTCCTGCCACAAAAGCTGTTACTCAGCATGCATCTCCTTTCTGTTTTTATTGTTTCCATCTCTTTCCAACTTCTTCTTTGGTCTCTGCTCTCTCAGAGAACAGAGAAGGAAACTACAGGACCTAGTAGTGATATTGCTACAAAAAGAAGGAAAATGAGAGAATTAGGGAGAAATGAAGACATAAATAAAAATATGAAATAAGGAGCTATATCTAGCAGAATAGAGATATCAAAGAACTGGAAGACTCATTCTCAGGAGTACTACAATGCACATAATCGTGATTCTTTCACTCCAGCCATGCCTTGTTACAATAAACATAACTGACTCAGCTGCACATGCCCTCTGGATGTTTACCTCAGGCACTGAGCACATTTCCAGTAGGGGACTTTTCAGGCAGTGGCAGATTGAAATACAGAGGCGAGATGATGGGACCCTTTTCACAACAGACTCCCAAAGGGTATCCTGCCTGCCACCACAGCCACCTGTCCCACTTACCTCTCTCATGGACTTTAGTCTCCAAGTTTGTTTATCAGGAAATGACCGCTACCTCAAGCATGAGATATCCTCAACTTCTCATTTAAACAGAAAGGGGTGACTGGGAGGGGGGCTGTCAGGTTATTTGTTTGCCGCCTTTTTTCAGAAACAACACAATGTTTGAGGAGTCTGGCAGGATACCCTGATCAGATGTGGCCACGTACCGTAACCTTATTCTCCATTTCTATTTTGTCAGTTTATATTTAGGAAAGGAATTATTTGCTAAAGTAGAAATAGACTTAACATAGCAGCTGCTGTGTCCCATTCTGCCCCAATTCAGAGACAGAAGCATGTTACTGCTTTTCTCAGCCAAGCCACGAGGACCTCCAGACAACGCCTTCTCTGGCAGTAGTAAAAGCTGTGATGTTTATCAGGGACATGGGCTCCACTCATGCACCACAGGTGACAGAACTAGGTTTAAGAAGTTGTCTGTCTAGGTGACAGACCTGTCTAGGTGACAGACAGGTTTAAGAAGTGACCACCTCCAACTAGAACGTGATAATTGTCCAAAAGGTCACTAAATACAACAGCTTAATTCTCACTGCTGTCCCCATTAAACTTAAAGCCACAAAGACACTTGAAACTCATCTATTTTACTTTGCCACCGAGGCTTGCTAAGAGCATATCTGGCAGCCAGCCATTATGGCCCAGCTGATGGGCAGAGGATCACCAGTTCAATTGCTTCTGACAGTGTGACCATCCACATGCATGTGATTTCTGCACTGAGCAGTAAATAACTGCACAGAGCAGTGGGCATCAACTAGCCCCCATCTGGTAAATACCCATGCAAGTTCATAAATTTGGTCCTATGAGTATCCTGGCTGGACTGTTACACGCTCCCTTCAGTGCTTTCAGGACTGGGGTCTCTTCTCTGACGTGCTTTTAGACAGAGAGGCAGGCACAGGAAGGGAAGTTTAGAGGAAGTATTTCCAACACCTCCTTCAACAGAAGGTAATACACTAGCAGAAGTCACTCTTATAGTAGGAACAGCCCAGTAATGCTTATAGACCATCAAGTCAACCCTGGATTGCATGGTGCTAGAAAGTATATCTACGTGGTACCTGCAACATATATAAAACTGCAATATGACATGAAAAAAGAAAGAGTACTAACATGTGCATTTGCATGAACATACTTCAACTGCAGTAAAGCAGCATAAGCTGTATATTGTCTCATCAGTCCCCAGACCCATCGAAGTCCAATGCCACGCAAAGTACTGCTTCAAGAGTAGAACCAGAGAGGGGAATGCATTCTGGAAAACCTGTAGGCACAGCCGATATGGAGGGTGGCTATCGCTGGACCTGGTTCTGTTTGATGGCAAGGGAACGAGAGCTTTTATGCTATTTTCTCTTGACTAAACACAGCACACTCTTGCCAAGCAGTTTTAGATGAGAATTCTGCAATTCTGTGCTTAATGCTTTACAAAGAAAGTGTTGTTGTGAAGCACAAAGGGGTTTTTTCTCCTTTTGCTAAGTAGCATATACAGGAAATTGGAAAACTGAAACTCAGGTCCCCAGAGGGGAGCTAAGGAAAAGCAAAACACTATCTGGCAGTGGCTACCATAATGTGGCATTATGGCATTATGATTCACAGATAAAAAACATAAAGGGAAAAGCCAAACCAGAGCATAAAGAAGGTCTAGTAGGTAAATTGCCTTCTGGATATCACAGGTACAGAATTTTCCAAGGCAGTGTGTGCATGAAAAATACCCCAATATTTTGGAAGTAAATCCTGACTTGCTCTGTACCAAAGGGGCTCCCAATCAAAAAATGCCTTAAGCTTCAAAGCAAATTTCTGAACATTCCCTCAACAACATTTCAAGCTAGAAAGGAACTTAAAGTAACTAGTAGAAGTGTCTCCAAGCCAAAGAAGTAAAGGGAACAACGTCAACAGACAAAGGACAGAATTGCCTTGGTTTGGGGGTGGTAGGGAGTGGTTATTTGTTTGACCAAAGTAAAAATTATCCCAGCAAGTTTGAAAGCAATGATAGAGAAGTCATTTCAAAACAATGAAAGAGAAGACAGAGTCACAAATGATCACAGTACCCAGTGAACTGAATTTTCTGCTGTACTGTTTCTACAGACCAGTGCACTGATGCACCAGAGTGAACATTTTCTCTCTTAAAAAGCTTTACAAGTTGCCTGTGCAATTTGGAAATCTTAGTGTTATAACTGAGATATCCAGTAAGCAGTATGAAAAGATAATCTGGTTTAATGCCCCAACAGCGGGCACAAGATTAAAGTTTTCTGTCCCACACTTGTCTGAGGGTTTCCCAGTCATGACTGTAAACATCTCATTTGAGCTTTTTTAAATGTCAGTTACAAGCTTTTACACATAAATAAATACTGCTACATACATAATAATGTATTATGAAAAGGTGATGAGTAGATACGCGAGAAAAAGTGATGAGCTAATATGTGAGTTAGACTGACGGAGTTATTCACTGCAGGCTCAAAATATTTTCTTCCTCTTTATTACTTTTGATATGCAAGATCTCTCTAGTCCATTTCTAATTACCAGCGTAGCACAGCTTGAGTTGAACTACAATATGTTGCTAATGGCAACAGCAGTAGTTTTACATGTTTATTTTACTAAAAAGCATTTCACCTTGGAACTGTCCAGCTGGACTTGGACAAATGGGTCAGACCTCAGAGGTGTAACGGAGCTCCCACTGCCTTCAGCAGTGCTGCACCAGCTCCTACTGACAAGAGAATCTACTTCGACAGCTGTTGTATTTTCAAGTAAAATTTAGGAAGATGACATTGCCCTGCCTAGAAAAGTATTCCCACACTACACAAAGATTTACTACACACATGTGCACACACTTACTTGTTTTACGTAAGATAAACACCATACCTCATGCCTTCTGTAGACCTATTCTGGTAGTTACGGTAGAGCTGGGGAACGCCTAACATAGCCTCGGTGAACACTGCAAGGAAGCCCAGCGTTTCCACAAAGAGAGATGAGTCAAGCCAGAGGTAAGTGATGTAACCGGTCACACCAGTGAAAGTCAGCACACACTGCACGTAGTCTGTAAACTTGCTCCAATGCCAAAAATAGTTCAAGTCAAAATCTGCAACAGAATAGGAATGGAAGAAGAATAAAATATGTTTTCCCAACCGGACTCAAAGTTAATCAGGGTGGAACTGAGAACTGGGAAGCATGAGGTCAGTCTTTGGGGGTAGGGGAAGGTAGAAAATGAGGGAAGGGATTAAAAAAAATAAAAACAAACAAACAAACAAACCAAGCCCCACCAAACTCAAAACAAACAAGAAAAATAAAAAAATAGGAGTCTTGATTTGGAAAACATTTTTTGGTGGGGGTGTTCAATAAAGAAACAATAAAACAAAGACTTGCAAACTACCAAAATATTTACGAAGATGGCTTTTAAAGAGAAAGCATTGACCTTCAGGTATCAAACATGAAGAACTCTGGATATGACTCTAGCAGAGTTGGCACAGAAGTGTTTCACAAAAACCTCACAATACTAAGTACAGGCCCCAAGCACATCAAGGCAAGTGCTCTCTCTTAGGTCATTATCTCTACCTTCAAACTGCCTCAATCCAAGCTGCTTAGAAGGTCACCTAAAGTCCACAGCTCTGTTCCCTGGTGCAGCGCAGCTGCTTGCGGTGAAGGGCAAGCTGCCACGTGCAGCTGGTACAGCTTTACCGAGATAGGTGCAAGACCGTGACAAGAATCCTCCCTGGAACACCACCTCCCACAGACATAACTACTTTTCACTCCAAGGGCAAAATGTGCTTCACTCTTGCCTTTGCCAGTACCAATGAGTGCAGGGTGCATACCCATTTCTACATCCATCAGAACAAAACACTATAGCACAAAACACGATATCCTCCCTTGAGAGAATGAGAGAAAGAGCAAACCAACCATGCCATTTGCTTTGGCACATTAACAGCATACCGCTGGAAGATATGTAGCTATCTTGTTGATGAATAATAAAATATACAACCCCGTTACCATTGACTGTATAGCAAAATAACAACGTAATTTTGAATAATAAGAACTCTGAAATAACTGTTCATTAGCAGGTGCTGTTCATGTCTTCCTTTCTTAAAAGCACTTGAAGTTAAAAATACCAACCTCAGACCAACTGGATTCTGTTAATTATCAAGATGATGAACCATCGTTCTAACAGCCCAAATATGTGCAACACACCGGCACATGACTAGATTTCTGTTGCTGCCTCCTCAGCAGAAGTACAGAATGCTACAAAAAAGTTCTACTGTTAACTCAGGCAAGGAAGACATTGACCTCCGCTGACTAACACTAACAACAAAATCAGTGAAATGAGAATAAATCTGTACAGGCACTTAGCTGCCTAAGGATACATATACATGCCAAATAACAGTTTCATTTTCTGCATCTTTTCACACTTTCATATCATTATCAGTCTGGCCCTCACTCTTTATTAACTGGTCTCCCCTTTTTAATACTTGGCAAACCCATGCCTCAAGACAACTACTGACTGCATCCAGCTGAATCATTTTACTTTACCGCACAAAGAGGAAGGCAAAACTGGCCAGGAGCCATACACAACCTGTAGCTTTGTCAGCCATCACCCAGAACTGAATTAAATAATCTGTGGCAAAGCCACTGTCAATGTAACGTTGACCTTCAGTATTTTATGGTAGTGGCTCCTCAGCCTCAGAATTCAGGGACACGAGACTAAATAAAAGGTAGACCCAGTGCTGGCACAGCCCACACAGCATGTGAGCATCACACATTCCTTGAGCTTTGTGAAGGCTTTCCTTTGTGGAGATGAAGGAAGAGCAAAACAGAATGAAGCAGAAAAAAGGCGGCACAAGGCAACCGCAACCACAAAGGCAGGAAAAACATTATCCATTTTAATTTATCTCTACTGCATTTTCTGGAGAAGAGCAGAGTCAACGAGAACCTCTGACAAGGTAGAAGGAGTAAGAGACACCCAAAACTTCCATTCCTTTTACTTTGCCTGACCTACATCTGCATAACATAAAATAGCAAGAGGCGTAACAGAGTAAATTCACACTAATTTTGCCAGCTTCATGAGCGATACCAAGCAAACGACCTGACCCAACACAACAAATCTGACACTACGCAACTGTTATATTAGCAAGAGATGCTCTCTGGGACAGAGGCATTTGGGCTTGCAATGGGGACAGAATAATGAACAGCAGAGGAAAAGCGGATGTAGAGAAAGTTAAAGTTGGTGAGGTTACAGGCCATTTAAAAAAGCAACCTCCATTCTGGAAAAGGAGAGCTACTGATGGCTTTTGAGTAAGACGTAACTGCTACTTTTATCAGATTATTTCTTTAAACCTTGATTCTGAGATGTTCTCACACAGCCTTTAGTTTCTTCACGGACACCTAAAGCACTGGCTTTCAACCATTAAAAAGGCAAGTGTTTCATTTTAAATCAGAGCTCTCACATTCAAACATGCTGGGTGGAAAACTGGCATTTACTTTCCAGCAACGGTCATTCAACTTTGATACAGCATTCAAAAGATACTGTCTCAGACCAATACCTGAAAACTAGCAACTGGTGGCAGCCATAGGCAAGAACACATGAAGCACACTCTTCAGACAGTTCCAGCCCTAGAAGAGAGCCTCTTGGCTCTCAAGATAGCTATAGAGTCATTACACCTCGAATCCTGGACTCGACAGCGTTAGTCTGGATCTGGTTGCCGTGCTGCCTTGGGCATGCAGGACCCTTGGACCCCCCCTCATTAAACCCTCCCACCAGCTGTCAGGGCTGCCCTGCATACACTGTGTTTCTCCTCCTGCGCTCTCCACATGCTCAAGGATCATTTTTAAAATACCCATCCCTGTACACCAAATCCTTATTTCCCCAAGTTCATTTTCATAATAGAAATGAAAGAACTAAATCTACATGGGGGTGTGGAAGTTCCGGAAGTTCATGGAACAAAAAAAGTCAACATTCACACAGCGATCATGAGGCCAGCTACAAAATCCATGGACCCATGCAAACACTTAAAACACGCAATTACCTCCTGCTACGCCAGCTGTTCATGTGCATATTCAGTACTGCTGCGCTGAAGTCCATTTCCATTCAGATAAGTACTAATATCCCTGAACCTAGTATTAGGCAGCCAAGAAATCTGGTAATGATGATAATTTACCCATCATCTTTTGTCTGAAAATCTTAAGTATGATTTCTATTATAAAAACATACACAGATGAGAAAACTATTGTGTGAAACAGGACTTTAGCTGAAGCAGGAGAGTTAATTACTAGCACAGGAAAGAGACTGAGATTCTCTTTTGTTCAAAACTATCTTGATGCTATATAGTCTCCATTTCACTATACTAGGTTATGAGTAAGTTCTCATTTCTGGTATAAATTTTGCTTGGTAATGTTTTCCTGAAAGAAGGAAAGACAAAATGAGATAAGAACAATTATAACCTTGGTAATAGCCTTACAGAAAAATATTTGAATTATCTTAAAACCAACCCAATACATAATCACTAATTGCTCTACTTAACAGATGTATTTTCAAAATGCGGAAGTCTATTTTAGGACACTACACATCACCAAACTCTGTATTACCAACTACGTCCAGGAAGAAGTAAAAGAATGACTGAACTAAAAAAAAAAAAAAAAGGTAGAGAACAGCATAGCTGACCATTCTTACGGGTCATAGCTTCTCTGGCCCCTACTTGAACTGCTAAACTGTTTTGCCACACGGTTGCTTCTTTTTAACCAAGGCTGAAGCTTATCTTCTCTGACAAATGTTTTCAAAAATTCAGAGGGAAAAAAAAAAAATCACATACCCATCACTTCAAGGTTTGGAAATAAACTGTGACTCATTTTTCCAAGTGTCTCCTTTCTCAAGGGGGTCCAAACACATTAGTTCTGTAATAGGAGCTATATACATTCAAAGAAAATAATGTTAGTTGTGCCAAGTACTGTGACAGGTATATGCAAAAAAGCCTTTTAAATACTTAAAAACAAAAGGGAACTGTCCCTTAAAAAAAAAAAAGGAGTAGTTTTAAAAACAGAACAAAATCCACATGTGCATGCAGACCAGTCCTGTCCCCATCCATACAGAGAGATCTGCAGCAGAGGGGGGAGGCAGATGTAGCCACAACTGTCCCAAGAAGATAGCCAGAGGACACCAATCAGTGTCCTGGGCCATTTCATCTGAGGTGCAGAACTGAACAAAGTTATAAATATTATTGCAAACATTATTCACATTTTAAGAAAATTATGACTAATAAAGAGAAGACTGGGAATTTTGCACACCCCCCCCACCCCCGCAAACATCACCCCTTTTCTTTAAAAGGAGAAAACAAGAAATCCCACTGCACCACAATTTATTTCTATCAAATGTCTTAAAATCTGTCCAAGTTATCTGGATGCATATCTTTCTACTCCTTCACATTTGAAGAAAACTATGACTAATAAAGAGAAGATTGGGAATTTTGCCCCGCCCCCAGCAAACATCACCCCTTTTCTTTAAAAGGAGAAAACAAGAAATCCCACTGCACCACAATTTATTTCTATCAAATGTCTTAAAATCTGTCCAAGTTATCTGGATGCATATCTTTCTACTCCCTGAAATGGAAAGGCACTGCTTGCACAGTTCACTCCATTCACTAACTCCCCATCCTGCCCAGAGAGAAATTCATGACACGAGTTTGTAACCATACTCAGTTGATGCAGTTCAAATGGTAACTCCCAGTCACTAACATCCTGGATTGATCTGAACTGGCATTGCTGCAGCGAAAGGTACTATATCTTATTACCCATGCCTGAGCTCTTTAATCCACTCAGTGAGTTGCATTTTAAACATGTTAATCCATTGATAGATGAGAGGTTTACGTTGGAAAATCCTATTGATGCTGGGGGAAGGAGCAGCTCAGCAGGTTCTTTGTGCACTGACTGCAGAAAAGTCTACACAGCTTGAGGGTGAAGAAAGATGAGATTAAAAATCCTCCTCTGGGAGGCACATTGCATGTCAGATACGAAAAATGTAAAGCAGGCAGGGACAGCATTGCAAATAACCATGGTTAGCACTAGTCAGGCCAAAATGCAAGTAGAAAATTCAAGATT